AAAGTGTACACTTTGATTGACAACCCCGGATGTGTCAAAAATCTAGTTGATTGGAAAATGTGGTGTCGAGATCAATGTACCAAAATTCGTCAACTCAACGTGAGTGTAAATTAATGTGTCAAATTTGATGTACATGTAGGTATAATATTTTTACTCGGGGAGGTTAACGGAAAAAAATAACGGACCTTATTATTAAATTAGAAACCAAGCCATAAATGCACAAGATATTATTTTACCATGCGTGGTTCGAAAACTTCCTTCCAGACAGGTCTCTTCGCGATTTGGGGAGTGGACTCTTTGTTGATGCTTTTTGGAAAAATATAAAGGGAAAATTTCAAAACTAAGAGGTTTAGTTTTACCAATTTCAAATTTAAGAGATTATGTTTAAAATTTCAAATCTCATAGTTTTTAAATTTTATTTATAAATGAATTAATTAAGCATATATTTTATTAATTAAATATATTAATGTGACAATTCCATATAATTGGTCACACATCACAATTTTCACGTCACAAATTATTTTATGGTTAAAATTCAAAAATTTTATAGATCACAATTTGTTCATTGATCAAAAATCAAAAATTTATACGTTACAAATCTATCAAATTAGTAAGTCACATATTATTCATTGGTCACAATTCAAAAATTTTATAGGTAACAATTTGTTTATCGCTCACAAATCAAAATTTGAAAAGTCACAATTTATTTATAGGTCACAAATCACTGATATTATAAGTCGCAACTTATCAAACAGTCATTTTCAATTTATCGATAACAAATTAACAATTTTTAGATCACACATTATTTTTTTATCACAATTTATCTTTTTCATTGCTCACATATTGTTTATTGGTCACACACCAACCAATTTTTTAGTGACGGTCGGTCACGTATTATTTATTGGTCACGCACCAACTAATTTATTGGTCACAATCAAGAAAACAATTTGTGACCACCACCTCCGCCTCGAGTAGAACAACCACCAACGCCGCCATACCACCACCACCATCTCCTCAAATCCATTACCGTCAATGCCACCACCAACGTGACCACCACAACCACCATCTACACTCTTCACCACCTTGACCACCATCTCCACCACACCACACCACACCGCATCACCAACAACCAAAAAATCCCCAAACCTACTATCATTGTTGTCGTCGTCGTTGCCACGACGACCACCAACACCATCACAGCAATCACCACCATCTCCATCACAGCCACCATCACAACTACCATCACCTCCATCTTCTTCTCAACCATACCGCAACCACCAACCGCACTAAAAAATCCCTAAACCGTCACTACCAACCGCCAAAATCAACACCACCATAGCCATCACCACCAACCACAAACACAATAAAAAAACCCAGAGATAAAATCAACAATAATATGTTCGATTTGCAACTTCACAGTCA